TCGGCCAACTTCCCAGTTCCTCCCCTTGACTGGCCGTCCCTCCAGTTCCCAATCAACCCCGATCACCAGCCAGGCCGAAGGACCCCACCCATGCACGAAGTCATGCACAGGCCTCTGGTGTTTAATAATTGTCCTGCGGGAGCCACAGTGAAGCCAGGAGTAAACACAGCTACACACTTTTGGTGGAACATTACAACCTCTGTGCAGGCCTAATTGGTAAATCAACCAAAATTTTAGTTGCACATAACCTCGGCTCATCAATTCAACCTTTTGATTATATGCTGTGTAGATAGATATTCATGCAAATATTTTTAAAAACATTTTTGTATTTTTAAAAAAGAGAAACAACCTAAATATCCATCAGTAGGGTACTAGCCAAATAAACTAAAAATAATTAATAAATGTTTATTAATAAGTAAGTTGTGGTGTAACCACACCATGAAATACTATTATACAAAGTGCTCAGATGCCTGTACTGATATGGAAAGTTGTTCAAGAAACAGGCTAAGTGAAAAACACAAAGTATCAAATAGAATGTGTGCTATGCTCTCCTCTGTTCAGCATAGGTTATACATGTATGTATGAATATATGTACATATTATGCATGTATAGATGCCTAGATAGTTTCACAAACACAAAACTATTGTTGCCTCCGAGGAGAGCAAAGGAGTCCTACTTCCTGCTTGGATTTTTTCCCACCGTGATTATGCATTACTCACATAATCCAAAATAGTGACCAAACCAGAGAAAAGGGGAATCTGAAGGCACCAGATCAAGTCAACTCCTGATCGAGAAATAAGCCAGTTCTGGGTTTTGGGATAGAAGAGAGAGGGGGCAAAGCAGCTATTGAGAGGGAGGAGGCTGTCATTCCAGGACCCAGGCCCATCCCCGAGGGGACCCATGGCAATTCTCCCTCCACAGAATGAGCAGACATCCTACAACGTCAGGCCTCAGCCACAGTCACCTACCATCTGCACCAACCACTTCTTCAGCAGGGCCCTGGGTGCTTCCGGGCCCGTGGACCTCCAGCAAGCCGGGATCGCCCAGCACAGCCTGGGAGCGGGCGTCCTCCTCTCGGACCGAGGCCGGCGTCCACCGGGGAATGTGAGAGATGCCCTGGGAGAGGAGCTCGTTCAGGTAATGCTCAATCACCTCCTTCCCCTGGGCGCCAGAGAGAACCAAGACACGTCAGCACCGGGGCAGGACAGCGGGTAACCAACGTCATTCTGGGAGTCACCCCCGCCTGGCTCTGGCCTCAGGCCTGACACGTGGCTACTAAGCAGTGGAATGTGGCCAAGCCAAATGGAGATGTTTGTGAATGTTAAATCCACACCAGATTTGCGAGATTTGGTACCAAAGAATGTAAAATAGTTCCCAAGGAAGTTTTATATTGATAACCCACTGGACAAAATATATTATTAAAATGATCTTATCTGTTTCATTACACTGAAGGCCTCTACTCAGTGAAGTATCTCAGATCTTTAAACCAAGCAGAGACCCTTTAAACCAGGAAAAAGCATCGTACAATGTCCCTTCTGTGTCCACAGAGCTTACACACAGGCCTGGGAGCCATCAGGATTTTGGTGCCCCCATTAAAGCTTGCTGTCCATCCATCATCTCCTGTAATATGGCCAGTGTTGGAATACCCATTCTACAGATGAGGAAGGCTAAGGCTCTTGCGTGATGTCACAGTTGTCAAGTAGCAGAGCGGGTTTTGAACCAGGACTGGCAGCCCCCAAGGTCTGTGCACTTTTCTCCCTGTGTCTGACGGAGCCTCTCTCTTACCCTCTTGACGTTGGCTGTGTACTGCTTCATGGCAATCTTCTCCAAGGCACTTTCAAAGCCAAAGAAGGACCGGATGTCGAGCGAGGCAGATTGCTCAAAGCAAGTCCACTCTTCATTCTCAGGGTGGACCTGAAAGCAGGCACCATCGTTAACCCCATTTTACAGGTAGAGAAATAAGGCAGTTTCCTGAGGCAGGAAAGGAACGAGAGAAGAATGGAGGGCGGAGAAAAGGTGCCCGGTTTAGCCAATTAAAAGCAAGATGCCCAGTCACATTTGAATTTAAGATAAACAGCAAATACTATTTTAGTAAGTATGTCTCACACAATATTTTAAATTACCGAAACTTAAAAAGAAAAAAAAAAGAAAAAAAAAAAAGTATGGGCTGTGTATCTAAACTGCGGATGTAGGGAGCGGCCTGCATCTGATCAGACAAGGCCCTGGGGCAGAGGGGGGGCAGCGGGGGCAGGTGGCCCGGCGCTCACCGTGTAGCTGCAGTTCTCACGGACCACCACGCGGCTGGCGAAGGTCTCGTTGTGCGCCTCGATGCGGAGGGTCCTCTCCTTCCAGTTCAAGACGTTCCTCTGCACGAAGACCACGTGCTCCACACCCGCGATCTGCAAGAGACACCAGGTGCGCAGGGGGTGAGGAGTGAGGGGTGGGGGCACGAACCCGAGGGCTAAAGTGTTATCGAATGGGCACTGGCCACCTCGATTGGTTAGGCATCATCCAGATAAACCGAGGTGACCCAGGAACCCCCCCCCCCCCTGCCCACCGCCTGGGCGGAGTCCCCGCCTTCCTCTTCCCAGCCCTCCATCCCCGAACCCCTACCCCCCCCCCCCCCCCCCCCCCCCGTCCCAGCCCAGCCTCCTGGCCCTGGTCCCTTCAGATCCAGCGCTCCAGCGGGGCCCTCCGACCCAGACCCACCGCGGAACCCCTCTTTCCAGCACCAACACTCACACTGGCCCCGCCGCGTGGCCCCGCCCCGGCTCCCAGCGGTCACCCACCCCCCTGTCCCACCGCCCCCTCTGCCCCGGGCTCCCACCTTCCGCAGCAGCCGCGGGGCCTCCACGCGCAGCCGGCAGCTCCGCTCCACCACGTGCACCGCGCCATCGGCGCTGCGGGACTCGAACACCACCTCGCTGCCCAGGAAGACCGGGATCTGCGGGCAGGTGGGGAAGCGCTTCTCGTAGGCCTGGGGGGAGAGGGCAGGGAGTGCGAGGGGGTGGCCGAGGCCCGCGGGGCACGGCCCTGCTCCTGCCCCGGCTGGATGGTCTCTCCTTGTGGCTGCGGAGAGGGAGAACATTCCTGGCCCCTGGGGAGCGCGTGGCCACTGCTGTTTTACCAACAGGACCATTGTTTGTCTGCACAGCCTCCTGGCAGGTCGCTTTTTGGATTCACATTTGAGCTTTTGCCCTTAGAAGAAAGAGTGGAGACTTCCTGGGACACTTTAAAAGAAAGCACCTTTCAGCTGAAACCTGTTTGGCTCAGTGGATAGAGCGTTGGTCTGCGGACTGAAGGGTCCCAGGTTCGATTCCAATAAAGGGCATGTATATTGGTTTCAGGCACATTCCCAGTAGGGGGTGTGCAGAAGGCAGCTGATTGATGTTTCCCTCTCATTGATGTTTCTGACTCTCTATCCCTATCTCTCTCTGTAAAAAAAAAAAAAAAAAAAAAAAAAAAAAAAAAAAAAAAACATTTAAAAAAAAAAAAAGAAAAGAAAGCACTTTTCAGGGGGGAAAAATGAACAAATTTCAACACCCTTCATGGTAAAAGCTCAACAAGCAAGGGAGAGGGGGACCCCCTCAATCTGATCAAGTGCATCTACAAAAGCCACCGCAGACAAGGCCAGGCTGCCTGCTCCGGCTGCTTCTATTCAGCCTCCTGGAGGTGGAACCAGAGCAGGTAGGCCACTAAAAGAAAGAAAAGGCCTCCAGATTGGAAGGGGAGAGAGTCTGTGCCCAGTTTGGGAAGTTTCAGAGGCCGAGCAGGTCAGAGCCACTGGGGGGCGTGTGGGCATTCCTGGCTGGCGGCATTCAAGCATGCATTCAAGTCTGCTCCCAGCGCCTGTCACAGTCTACATGCCCTGGAATCCGAATCAAAGTGAGCTCCAAATATAGTGCCGGCATCTGAGGACACACATTCCACCCCCATCCCTCCCAGCAGAAGGCGGCACCCACCAGCTCAGATTGGCAGAGACAGGAGGAGGGGGGATGGACGGATGCCTGGTGCCCTTGGTGTTACCCCAGCCCCACAGGCCAGGCCAGCCCAGCCCAGCCGTCCTCCGCCGGGGTCAGGAAGACGGTGCTGCCTCCTGCCATCTGTCAAACACACCAGCCACCAGGGTTAGAACAGGAACGCTGAACCCGGGGGAAAGTGCACCATGGGGCTCCCAGTCAGGGGTCTGGACCCTGAGGACTGGCAAAGGGCGGACCCTGAACGCTCTGTTTCAAAGGAAGGCATTTCCCCACTGAGGAGGGAGCCTCATGGCAAAGTGGATGTGAGTTGGGTGGAGTTCTGCCTCCTCCTCCCAGCAGAGAGGCCAGTCCCTTGCTCTAAGTCTGTTTTATCATCTGGAAAATGTGTGCCACGCTTGTCTCCCAGAAGACGGACCCAGGTTGATTAGCTCGTGCAGCCTGGCACATCACAGGCACCCAACATCTTCCTCCTCCAGACAACAGGGCTCCGATGTTTGCCGGAACAGAACACAGCTCCTCCCCAGCCCTGTCAGAGGGCTCTGCCCGCACAGATGCAGGAGGCAGCCAGGGCAGTCAGTCCCGCCCCAACTCTGTAATGGGCAGACAGAGGCTGGCATGTTTTAAGAGCATAAGGAGGGAAAGGGGTTTATGTTTCAAAATTGGTCAGACTCAGTTGAGTCTCTTCTACTTTCTCCCTGGGTGACCTTGGGCAAGTCTGAGACTCTGTTTCCTTGCCTGCAACGCGAGGACGTTATCAGGTTGTGTCTCCGAGTAGCTGGCACTCATCAAGCCTTGACTCTGCTCTTCCGGCTGTGTGTGTTCTTCCACTTAATCCCCTGCACGGCATCCTCCTTTGACAATGAGGAAACGGGGGCCCAGAGAGGCTGAGTAACCAACCCAAGGTCACACAGTGCAAAATGGTGAACCTGGATCTGAATGTCAGGCTGGCTCAGCATTCACTCCCGCAGGAACCTCTTGCTCAGCAGCAGGGCTTGTTCTCCCAGGAAACCTGGAAACCGAGCCAGGCTCTGTCCTCTGGGGCACATACTCCTTTCCTCCTTATCCTTTCAAAACATGCCAGCATCCGTCCGCCCGTTACAGAGGTGAGGCCTCGCCGGCTGCTCTGGCTCCCTCCTGCATCTGTGCTCGCAGAGCCCTCCGAATGGGCTGGGAAGGAGTTGTGTTCTGTTCTCCCAAACCTGTACTGTGGTCACAATTTCTTTCTCCACCCTCAGTCCTTCAACTCTTGCTAGGCAGTGGCCACACTACTCCTGAGCGTCTCCTCTTCCACTGATGGCTCATCAGTCTCTCTCCTGTTCCCCAGACGATAGGACATCCTTAGAACAGGCCCTCCATGCTGTGGCCTGCCCAGCCACGTGAAGATACAGGCGCTGATTGGGGTGATTCCTCTACATCAGCCCACCTCCCCCCCCACCCCGCCTCCTTCGCTCTGCCCTCACCATGCCAGCCTCGCTGTTTCCAGAACACACGGTTAATGGATTGAATTGTGCCCCCACCTCAACCAAAGCTCATGTCCTAATTCCCAGGACCTCTGAATGGGAGTTAGGACTTATTTGGAAGCAGGGTTGTGGCAGATGTAATTGGTTAAGATGAGGTCATACTGGAGTAGAATGGGCTGCTAATCCCATATGACTGGTGCCCTTATAAAAGGGGAATGTGGACACGGACACCCACACAGGGACGCCACGTGAAGATGAAGGCATTGATGGGACCGATTCCTCCACACGCCAGAAATGCCAGGGATTTCCAGCAACACGAGAAGCCGAGAGAGAGGCCTGGGACAGCCTGTCCTTCACAGCCTCTGAAGGAGCCCGCTCTGCGATACCTTGATCCCAGACCTCTAGCCTCCAGACTGTGAGATGACGAATGCCTGCTGTTTGAGCCCCCGATTTGTGGTATTTCGCTGTGTCAGCCACAGGAAACAGCTTGTTCCTGCCCAGGGCCTTTGCACTTGCTGTTTCCCCTGCTCGGAACACTGGGCAATTCACTTGGCAGTGAACGGGGACGGGGACGAGTCATTGGGGCTCTCGGTGGTAGGAGACCAAGATAGGGAGTGAGGAGATGCCAGGCTTCGGGGACTTGTCTGTTTCTGGTCCCTCTTCCTGGGGCACCCCACCTCCCCCCACAAGGCTGCCTCCTTCCCTGTTCATTTACTGGATAGCACTTATGGCACCTTTTAACCACACATACTACTCACTGGCATATACATACCAAAGGCCGGGACTGCGTGCTTTTCAGCACACGGACCTCACACCCGACTCATCTCAGTTGTTGGCACACACTAGGGGCTCAAAGAAATGCCAACGAGCAAAGAAAGAAAAACATAAACTTCTTACCGAAATCCCCGATCGCCCGAGAACAACGTCGGTGGGGAATGACAGGCCACAGCTCAGCGCACACAGCCAGCGGAGGGCACTAAGCGTCACTGGCTAACTTCCTGTCACAACAAGCCTCTTGGTAGACGGGCCACATCTGGATCCCCCAGATAACAGTGGGGTGACATGGGGGCCGATCAGCAGTGGGCAGGCGCTTGGGCACAGCTCACCCTGCCTGAGCAAGGGAAGGTGTGCCCTCTTCAAGGAAACAGTGGCTGCTTCAACCACAGACCTGCCAGAAGGTCGTTCGGCTGTCCAGTCTAATTAGCATATTACGCTTTTATTATTATAGATTCCACTTTTGTAAGGTAGCTAGAGTAGTCAGGTTTACAGAGTCAGAGAGCAGAATGGTGGTTACCAGGGGTTGAAGGGGAGGAACAGGGAGCTAGTGTTTAATGGGTACAGAATTTCATAATGGGAAAATGAAAAAAATGTGTGGAGATGGATAGTGGTGATGGTTGCATAACATTGTGAATGTATTTAATGCCACTTTAAAATGGTTGAAATGTTGGGTTATGTATATGTTACCATTATTTAAAAAAAAAAAAAAAGAGTAAATCATCTCCCAGGCCTTGGGGGCTCCCAGAGCTCAGGCTTCGTCTGGAAGGCAGGGGCCCCGACATAAGGAGTCAGTGCTCCCGGATCAGAGGGCTGTCAGCTGGGGTGTGAGGTCTCGTGCCTGACACTGTTTTCACCGGCATTTGCAGAATGCTAGCTGCATAATTTCATCCTCACAGCGCCCTGATGAGATGGGAGCCGTTGTTTCCCCATTTTACAGCTGAGCAAGTTGAGGCTTGGGAGGATATTACACTGTCGCTGGAAGTGGCAGGATTGGAGGCAGGCCAGGCTGACCCAGGCCCCAGCCCTGAACCACCCTGTCCTGCCTCTAGGACATCACAAGTGTGGGTGGTTTGGAGATGCTGCGTTCCACTGACCTAAACCCTTTGCTTTGGCCACATCACAGGGTGGAAGAGTTCACAGGCCCCAACTCACTCGGTGAGTGTTATCCCTGCCTAAGAGCCTCGGATGCCGACTGCCGTCCCCACAGATCAAGCCTGAGCTTCCCCCCTGATGGACAAGCACGTGGTTTAGGCCCCAAGGGGACACAAGGCAGCAGAGGATTGAGTTACAGCCCTTCTGCCAGGCGGCTGGGAAGGGACACCCACGCCTGCCAGCTGAGAAAGGAAGCTGATCCAAGGCCAAGAACCCACTCCTGGGGCCTCAGCTGGGGCAGGCAGAGGCTGATGAAAACTTTCATTTAATGTCTCCCATATGCCCCCCCCACATGGACACACTTAGCATGTGTGTGTGTGTGAGGGGGGCGGAGCTGGAGTTAGACAGCCCTGGAGTCCTAGCGGAGCTGGATGACTCGAGCATGGCATGTCCCTTCTCCCCTACAGGCCCATCTGTAAAGTGGACCCTCCCACGAGCACTCACGGTACCTGTTTCCTTCCTCTGAGTCAGCTGCTGAAGCTGGAAATCGTTTCACCCCACCAGTGGGCTTGCTAACCTCTGAATTCCTCGAGCTTTGTTTGTTTGTTTGTTTGTTTGGTAATCCTCACCCGAGGATATTTTTCCCTTGATTTTTAGAGAGTAGAAAA